TTTGGCATTACTTCAACTGCTCAGTGAACTATTTTGCTGGGTATGATGATGTTTCTGGTGGAATTTGCCTATGTAGTTACTGTCAGCAGTACAAGCTAGCTAAATTGTCATATACTATCACTATCTGTAGTGTTATCTAATGTTATGTTGCAGAGTTTTGCAGATGTCCTCCTGTGTTTTTATTTTGGTTGATTTTACTGAGGTGTATCTTTTTAAAATTGGTGCACTTTGGATGAGTTTAGTGCTCTAAAACACTTAGGGTGGGTTGCACCAATAAGGATTAATCTTAAATCTAGATTAAATCAAGGTTTATCTAATTATCTAAAGGTTTATCTGTTGCACCAAACCTTAAACTTGTGTAAAATAAGCAGGTTTACATTTAAACCATCACATTAATCCTGGATTGAATTTCACAATAAACCTGGATTAACTATAATCTTGTTGCTCCATCACTTTAAACTCAGATTTATAATTCATAAATTTTTTTATTTTTTTATTTTTTCATTTTCTCAACCTATATTGGTTATGGGAATGAGCGGTTAATAACGCCAGTTGCTTCTTTTTGTTTTTAATTTAAAGTTCACAATCCCTTTGTAGTCACTCCAGTGGAAGTGAAAGAGTTACATTGTTGCTGTTTAGTTACACGGGAGAATTCCTATATTTCCACGTTTAGGAAATCCACATGCACTGCTGCAATGTTGTCAATGGCGAATCCATCATGATGGAGAAAATGAATCGTAGATGGAACTTTTAATCGCAGGTTAGAATTCGAATCCCCGATTTGTTAATCTGTATTTAAAATTAAGTGGTGCAACACAACTCGATTTCAAATAAATCCTAGATTAGCTCTAAACTGTGCTTAATTTAATCCTTATTGGTGCAACCCAATCCTAGTAATTAATCCCATGGGGTGAATCGTGACTTTAAAGGAAATAACCAAACTGTTCTGGACTCCGGCTTTCTATGACTGCAATTAATGATCTCTGTCCTATACAGTAGGTCACACTTGTAGCTGTCGAATTCTGGTTCTTCTCCAGATCTGCAGCTTTCTCATTTTGTCTGCATAGGCAGGTCAGGCAAGGTTCAGACCACTCAGCACTACTGCTAAGTGTTTCTTAATCCCGTAGCTTTATGGGTTAGTTATGACCAGGCCACAGATCAAGCAGCTGGAACTGCTCTATTGCCCCTTGAGAGCCTCCATTGTTTTGTGTTAACAAGGGCATCTGTGTAAGTATGTCAGGGGTCCTGAGGTGAGTTATGAGTACGAAAAAATCTTAAATTTGAATGGCCATGAATGTATTCTTATGTGTAATGTAATCAGCTTGTCAGCACCGTCTACTTAGCGGACTCATGGCCATGTGGATTCCTCATCAACACCATCTAAACTGGACCAGATGAAGGAGTGATATACGGTTCAGTAACAAAGACTGAATGTCAAGTTGGCTCATGTTTTAATTCCCAAGAATGTCTAATAGCATCACGTTTTAGAGAGAAATAGCACGCTTTCATTTGGCATCTTTCTACTCGGATGTTCTCAACACGGCATGTGTTTCTGTAGAGCCTTATCCAGCAGACCTTGCCATGGATATTACTTTACCATGGACAGAAACGGGTCAGCAGAAGTACTACCTGATATCAGAATCCGACATGTCCTGTCATATTTTATCCCTGTACATCCTGTGGGATAAGTAGAAGAGGTCTGCAGACAGCAAGGCGACTAGTTGTGTCAGACATTTGCCCCACAAGTCAGCTGGGACTTGTCCATCATTCTCTTTTTATTTTCCACCATCTTTCCATTAATGGCAGACTCTTTCCCTTAGGCAGTTTCAAACTGCCAGCAAATCTATTTGCTACTGTTTGAAGCCCAGGCACTCCTACGCCTCCATTATTTCTCTTTCCAGACTTAAGGCTATTGCACATGAGCTGAATAGCAAAATTCAAAATTCTAGCGATCACCGGCTAGAGCACCTTTTGTGCTAATATGAAAAAGCACCTCACACAGCATGCACAATGAAACCGTAATAACACTCTTATAAGTTATAGCTAGTATAAGTAGTAATTACCGACCCTACATTGTTATACTGATTAGGTGTATTATTATCAGTAATAATGATTAAATAGATACTGCTTTAGCTCTGCTGGCATAGTGGTTTACACATTTGCCTCACACCTCCAGGGGTTGGTGGAAGGATTCACGCCTCCACCCTGTGTGTGTGGAGTTTGCATGTTCTCACTGTGCTTCGGGGGATTCTCTCCAGGTACTCCGGTTTCCTCCCGCAGTCCACAGACATGCACTGTAGGTTGATTGGCATTTCCAAATTGTCTGTAGTGTGTGTGTGTGTGTGTATGATTGTGCCCTGTCTTGTGCTCCGAGTTCTCTGGGATAGGCCTGTTTAGGATAAGCGGTACAGAAAATGGATGGATGGATGGTTTAACTCTGGTGATGAGAATTGTTTTCTTTTACTGTAGCTTTGGAGGCAGAAAATAAAGAGAAGAGGAGTTGCTTGTGCAATTTGACTGTTAGTGGGACGTCACATCACGTACTGGTGAACGTGCCAAAAATAGCCAACGTTGTTATTTGTAGATATATCGCAGCTTTGTAATAATTTCAATGGAATAAGCACACAAAAATGAATGATCACCACACTACCTGTGCAGTATAAATATCTTTCTGGTCATATAGGAAACTGAAAGCATTTCAATAGATCTCAGCAACCCCCCGCCCCCAACTCTCAACCACGTGTTTTATTAGTGATGTCAGTGTGTAATCTGGCTTTTCAACACTACGAGCATCCTAATTTATGTCTGCATTTTTCCATTGTAAATGCTTTCACGCAATCATGCACCAGATATGTATGTTTTTCTATGGCTACTATAAATTGTTAGGTCTTTGCTGTGTGGCAGGCATAACAGATCTGTCTGGGGCCCAGTGTTGCGTCTGTGTTTATGTGAAACACACAAAGCCTTTTAGTGTCCTCCAGCTATACTAGTAAACTGTCACTGTTTTATAGCAAATCCTCGCCAGGCTCCAGTTGTCTGCCTCTACATTGTAACCTGCTACAGCGTAAAGCTACTCTGCGCTGGTTAAATAATGTTGTTAATGTTTTGTCTGTTATTCTTTCTTTGCCTGTCTGCTATCTGTCAGATGAGCTGAAGAAGCAGTTGGAGACTAGAAGGATGCAGATGGCAGCACAGGGTAGGTGATTAAACTACACTTCTTCTCTCTAATGGCTGTACATTATCTCAACACTTCAGTCATGAAAGGGGTTGAATTCTGAATTAAAAGCCAGTAGGGGTTTCCTCTGTTTGTTTTTTTTTTGTGTTTTTTTTTAAACATTGGGTGGGTGGCCTGGCCTTTACTGTAATGTCATCCTCGTTTTGATAAACATGCTAAACAGCTTCTACAAGTTTACAGATCTAACCTACACTGCCAGTGGGCTATCTTTTAACTGCATCAAAGAGGAACTTCAGACGAGCATGCTTTTTATTATGTGGCAGCATGTACTCGAAACACACCCAGAAGCCCTGAATATAGCCGTTCTATATTCACGGGCTTCTGAAAATCATGGTGAAATGGGTGTGCGACTCTGAGATGAGTGCCCTGTCCACAGCAGCATATGTGCAATGTTTATGAAAGACTACAATGTTTTGGTCCTGTTGTACCTCGAATGTCCTGAATTCTAGAGTAGTGTGTGTGGCCTCAGTCGTTCAGTTTTAAACGTCGAGTTTGTTAGTGGCGACGTACGAGCTGATTCCATGTCTTGGCTCAGAGAGCTCCGAAAAAACACACATAGAGGCAAGTGTCCTGCTGAGTAGAGCAATAAGTGGAGAACAGATCTATGAAAGGAGAGTTGGATGCACAAAACAAAAACATGATTCAGATCCAATAGGACATGCAGTGGTGCTTGAAAGTTTGTGAACCCTTTTCTATATTTCTGAATGAATATGACCATGGGGAGGGTTTAAACTATGTTGAATTTCCTCCATTTGTACACAATCTGTCTGACTGGATTGGTGGAGTCCAAACTTTTTAGAGATGGTTTTGTAAACTTTTCCAGCCTGATAAGCATTTTCCTGAGGTCCTTAGAAATCTTTATTGTTTATGCCATGATACACTTCCACAAACATGTGAACATCAGACTTTGATAGATCCCTGTTCTTGAAATAAAACAGGGCACTCACTTACACCTTGTCATACACCATTGTTGTCCCATGGATTCAAAACACCTGACTCTAATTTCACCTTGAAATTAAAAGCCTAATCCTAGAGATTCACATACTTTTGCCACTCACAGATTGGATAATTTTCCTCAATAAATAAATGAACAAGTATAATATTTTTTGTATATTTTTTGTTGAATTGGGTTCTAGGTCTTATTTATGCAGAAATATTGAAAATGTAGGATATTTGTGAAGACATTATATCATTCTTTGCATAAACAAAACGTGAGGTGATTCTGAGAATGTACTCCTGTTAAGGCACTACTAGAAGTTTAAAGTTTAGCTGTTGCATTTACAAATGGTGACTTGAACAAGCAGCAGTCAGACCAAACGGAAATAAAATTTGATGGATGGAAAAGCCAATTTACTGAATGGGAAATGACATGTGTTGTGAAAGACGTGCATTAAATTCTGGTAGTTGTCAGTTTCTCTTTGCACAGACTTTATAGAGATAACCTTTAGCCGCCTTTCTACCGAAATTACCCGGAAAAATTTGTCCCAGGAAGGGACTATTTGGTTCCTCCAGACCTTTGTTGTCTGCGTTTCCATCGCAGTCTAAAATACCGTGAAGATTAGGCAAATTAGTCCGGTGACTGCATGCGACAAGACCGTTGGCGAGGATATGAAGCCTCAAACTATGCTACAATCAAACTGATTATTGACACAAAGTAAGCTGATTTTAATGATGTAATAATGTAAACTGTTTGCTCAGCTCATAAAAACACGTAGCAGGCTCTGATTGGAACACAAACCTTTGAACAAAAGAGTTTGCTGCAAGTACACTGGTGGTCTAGTGGTTAGGTTTTGGTGCTCTCACCGCCATGGCCCGGGTTTCATTCCTGGTCATGGAATGAATTTAATTTTTTTTAATCTTTGGATAAAGTTTGTGTTTAAAAATGGACAGTCTATTTTCAGAAATTTGTTAGACACTGCAACAACAACAAGGATGGAGGAGAGTCTAGCTGTGCTGCTGTTGATTGTGATGTATTGCTTTGCTAAAGAGGTCATTGAGAAAATGCTGGAAAAGAGGCGAGCAGTGGTAGTAAAGCGAATTCAGAATGTTCGTAATGCTAGACTTAATGTAAGAAAATACTTATTAAGGCCTGAACCTTGTAGTCGGTCCATCGGTCATATTTTTTTAAGAAACTCTATTGTGTTGATTCGAATCGCAATAAACAACAGTTACTGTGCGCATCGCAACGGACGTTTAAAAATGGTGGTTGAAAAAAAGAAAAATGCTCTATGTACTCAACCAATCAGCATGTTCAACGCCTAAGTCCCACCCCACAAAGTTCCTGTTTTTTTGACCACCTCCCGAGTAGGGACTTTGCGAGGCCTAAATATTTTCCCCAGACCTTAATTTAAACCCTGGTCCTTGTGGTGGAAACACACAGAGTACCTCCAAAAGTCCCTGGTTCCTGAGGACAGTTCCTGTGGTGGAAAAGCAGTGTTTGACCTGTGGATTCACAAACTTCTGTCTTGTGAGCCAATAGAAACCACGTGGGCGGGACTGTGGTCTCTTTGGCCAGTAATAAATGAAGGCGCTGCTTGTTATTAAGCAGAACTCATACCAGACTTTTGCCTCACTGTTTTCTTACTGTTGCTTGGCACACATCTGCAAAAACAGACAAACAAAAAATAAACTTTGCCGTCTCGTCCACCGATAAATACAAGTTCTGTTTTTAGTCTCTGTCTGCTATAATTTTCATGTTATCAGTGTTGGGACTTCTGCGCTACTATTAGTGTTATTGAAAAGGAATAAAATTGTTTCAGGTGTAATGGGAAATCTGCCAAATCCAGAATTGGATCCTGTAGAGGAGAGACTCCGGAACCAGATTGAAGAGGAGAAGAAAAAGTATGCATTTATTCTTCAAATCCTTTTTACACATGATCCAACCAAACTCCAAAAGCCCTTTTCTTTTAACACAAAAATTTTCTGAAATATCTCTATGTGGAATCAGTGTATATACCATTAACATTCTTTTTTTAATGATAGATATAAGAGCACCTTTGAACGTTTAAAAGGCTTGAAGACAGAGATTGAACACCTACAGCACCTGCTTCAGCGGTCAAAGGTCAAACTGCAGAAGGACTTCCAGGACTGGTGGACTCAGGAGGCAGCAAGGTTACAGGTACTCTGTTCAGTTGCGTTTATTAAAGGAACATTGCATCGATCACTGAAACCCATGAATGCTACAGTCTCCCTATGGTTGATTCTGCACAGACATTTCTCAGATCCACATTTTTAATGTTATGCAGCAAAACATCTGACTAGCAGACTGAGCTGGCGACGCTGTTTTGATCTTGTCAGTAGGAAATATGAATGGTCCATCCGGACACATGAGCAGCTGTGCAGCAGCGCTTGGTCCTTGAATCTTTCCAGAGGAAATGACTTGTCTTTCACACTAACTTAGGATGTTCTGGTTTGTGTTTTCTCATTAACATTGAGGTTGAGTAAGCTGTATTTAACTCTGGCTGTAGTGAACAAACAAGCTTTTAATATTCAGTGGAAACATCAGCGTTGGTGTAGTGTATAATATAGAGAATGCTTTCTTCTTAGGAACAGGAAACTACAACTTTGATACTAAAACACATTATTGTTTTATTTTTCCAAAATGCTGACATGTTTCCATGGACTGCTTTGAAGCAACAGCAAACCGGCTGAAAACGACTCATTTCTGAAGCTAGGCTGGTTTTAATTTTCTCTCTGATTCTCATGTTCTTATCTGTCATCAGGTGCTACAGGTGCTCAGATGTTTAGCTTGAACAATTAGGCAAATGCATTTATGATAACCGTGTGTGATTTTGCAGCAGAATCATTCATCAGAGAGCACAAGAACAGGGCGGAGCCAAGACAACTCTCCCTGGACTCCTTCATCCAGGTGAGACATAGATGCAATTATGGTTATCAGTATGGGAAGAATGAATGAAAAAAAGAGTGTTTTTTTCAAGTATTGACAAATTCATCTGCTTTGAATATTTGATTCTATTTAAAAGCCTGAAACCGCTTATATATAACTAGTGTGAAATTTAACTAGTGTGAAACTAGGAGAATTTTAGAAACAAGTACATGAATTTTGTTGGTACATCCCCCTTTTGCTTTAATGACAGCCTGCAGTCGAGCTGGCATGGACACTCTATAAGTTGTGTATGATCCATGTTAGATCAAATCCATGGAAGCGTCGTCAGAATACGTGCTTCAGTGGAACGGATTGGCTCAAGGAAATCTGACCTTTTGTGTACAAAGGATTTACCATATCACAATGTGAATATCACAAAAGTGACATTTAAATGGTGACATAGAAATAGTGCAGTATTTTGAATACTGAATACTTCTTTTCTTTGTATAAACTTTCTATTTAAAGATTGCCACATTATGTTATCATTTTTCCTTTAATTCCTCACCCTCAATGTTGGTTCTATAATTATTTAGCCATCATATTATTAATATGATTGTCCTGCTGTAGTTGCAGCATTTTTATATCTGCCCCCTTCCCCTAGGCCTAGGGTTCTCCATTATACCTTATTTTTGAGCTAAGGGACCAAAACTAATTACATAATCATGAATTAAATTGTCATTTTTAATACTTGGTTGCAAATCCTTTGCAGTCAATGACTGCCCAAAGTCTGGAACCCATAGACATCATGAGACACTGGGTTTCTTCCCTGGTGATGTGCTGCCTGGCCTTTACTACAGCTGTCATTAGTTCCTATATGTTCTTGTTCTTGGGGCATTTTGGCTTCAGTTTTGCCTTCAGCAAGTGAAGCTCATTCATTCCACTTCTTTGACTTTTAAAGAGGCTTTCGAAGTATGCTTCAGATCATTGTCCATCTGCAGTGTGAAACACCATCCAATGAGTTTTGAAGCATTTGGCTGAATCTGAGCAGATATTACCCTACACACTTCAGAATTCATCCAGCTGCTTTTGTCAGCAGTCACATTATCAATAAATACAAGAGAACAATTCCACTGCAGACAAACATGCCCATGCCATAAGATGTGGTGTGCTTCATATCATGAGCAGTTCCCTCTTCTGTCATCTAGCACAGCTGTCTTCTGGGCCTTTTGGTGTTCCTGAGCTCACCAAGAGAGAATGTACTGAATAGACGATTCCTCCATACCTAATGTTATTGCTATCTTTGATGGGTTTGTTTTGATTTTGCAGCCTAAAGGTGGCTTGCTTCGTTGGCATTGACAGCTCATTGGACTTCATATTGAGAGTTAACAGCAATTGATCCCACATGTGAATTCAACATTTGAACTCAACACTAGAACTTTTGTTTGTTTGCATGTAAGTGAAATAGTGAGGGAATAACAGTCAGCTGGCTGTGGAACAACTGAGCAGCCTGTTGTCCAATTACTTTTAATCATGTGAAAGGGTGGGACCACATACAACATTGAACTGATTTTGGATGTAAATACCTTCAACTTACAGTTGAAAGTCTGTACTTTCAGTATTTAATTTTGACTCTAATATACGGTGGTAAGACAGCTAAAATAGCAACATTGTCAATGTCCAAATATTTATAGACCTGACTGTATCTACCTACCACTTTGTGTCAGTAAGCTCATATAGAAACTGAGATTAGGTTCTCCTTTGATCTGTCTTAAACTGTTAAAGTTTTGATGAGTTTGCTATTTGCATTTAAAACAGGCTGTATAAATACTGGTATGGAAAAACGTTCTGATAAGGCTTATTGTACACTTGTTTCAAAATTCCAGTTCACTGCATGATCACCACTTCGATAACCAAGAAAGAGCACAAAGACATCAGCCCACTCCACCAACAAGAGAACTCAGGTAAACAAACATGAGATAGCGCACAAGCCAGGTATGGACATTTTAGAACTTTTCCAAATACCATTCCATGACAAAAGGACACATAAATTTTTTACTACTGTTAGTCTTTTCCTGAGCAGCAAGAGATTATTTTGCTGCCAAGATCGCAGTGAAGAATGTGGAATATTGCTTTGGTAACAATGAATATGTCCAAGCCATACAAATGGCTTTAATTCTAAAGGGAAAAGTAATACCTGATCAAACAAAATCACCAGTAATGCCCTCTGAATGCTCTCTGTGGTAACTGTTAGAAGCCTCTTAGAACACTTAGAAGGTTGTGAACAGATAAAATTAGTAATGGAACTCTAATCTCTGCCAGTTTTAAGAATGTTTAAAAAAAACTTAAAAGGTTTTTTTAAAGGCATTTTCAGTGCAATTCCTGTTCAAGGAAAAAAAAAAATATTCTGAAAGAGTTCACCCAAAGGTGACAGAGCAGGCCAAAATGCAGTCCTCTCTGAAACTATTAGAACAGCAAGACCAGTTCATTGTTTGTGCTGTAGACTGAAGACATTTGGGTTTGAGATCAAAAGATGAATATGAGGAGAGAACATAGCATATTTTGGATCAGACCACCCAATTTGTAGGCGAGCTAAAATATTAGCACATGTGACTGACAGGTGTTTCTCTGGTGCCCGGTTAGATTGATCGTTAAAACAATAAATAGCTATAAACTCTTGGGTGAAGCCTTCAGTTTTACCTATGAAGACTAAATTTGTTGTTAAAAAGGAAAAGCCAACATGAAGATCAGAGAGCTGTCTATGGGAGAAAAGTAAGCTGTTTAGAAGCCTCGAAAAGAGGGAAAATCAATCAGAGGCATTGCACAAACATTGGGCATAGCCAAGACAACAATTTGGAATGTCCTGAAAAAGAAAGAAACCACTGATTACCACCAAATCACCAATTGAGCAGCATTTCAGTGACTTCTCCTGAAGAGGAGACTGAAGGGAGAAGCAAAAACAAAGAAACAAGTGACAGAGGCTGCAGTAAAAGCCTGGAAAACCAACACAAAAG